ATACAAAATAATTAGTACAGTATTTTTTTAACTTAAAATGTTATTATTCAGCCAGGTACCGGTGGCTCACACCTGTAATCCTAGCAACTCAGGAGGCTGAAATCTGAGGATCATGGTTCAAAGCCAGCCCAGGCAGGAAAGTCCATGAGACTGGTATCTCCAATAAACCACTAGAAAACCAGAAGTGGTGCTGTGGCTCAAGTGGTAGGGTGATCCCCTTGAGCTGAAGAGCTGAGGGACAGTGCCAAGCCTAGAGTTCAAGCCCCACGACAGACCAAAAAAAAATGTTATTATTCTTTTTTGTTTATTCTTCCTTTTAGCCTTTTTCTTTTTCTTTTTCTTTTCTTTTCTTGTTGTTTTAAGAGATAGGGTGTCACTTTGTTTCCCTGGTTAACTGTAAAATTCCTGAGCTGAAGCAATCCTCCTCCCTCAGCCTCCCAAGTGACTAAGACTATACGCACACATGCCAGAGTGTTCTTTTGTTTTAAAAGGATGGGCAGAAAGTGTAACAGGCTAGAAAATGTCCACTAGATCATCCACTATGTTAAGAAGATTTATTATAAGTGTCAGAAGTATCAGCTTTGGATATTATAGTTTGTTTCAAATCTTAGTTCTCTTTGCTACCTGCATTTAATATGGTACAAGTAATATAACTTCTCTAATGGCTAATTAAATAATCTATGTAATATTTAAACATTCCTACAGAAATAAGGCATCCCATATATGACTATAATTTTCTATTAAGCAAACTACCTGTGTTTGTAAATTAGTTTATCCGATTTGTTAAAAAGGAAAATCCTTTAATGTGAACAATAATCTGTAAAAGTAGATCATAAAAGTTAAAGTTTGTAGCTGGTTGCAGGTGGCTCACACCTGTAATCCTAACTACCCAGGAGGCTAATATCTGAGGATGATGGTTCAAATCCAGCTTCAGCAGGAATGTCCATGAGATTCTTATCTCCAATTAACCACCAAAAAGCTAGAAGTGAAGCTGTGGCTCAAGTAGTAGTACAAAAGCTCGAGGGCAGCACCCAGGTCCTGATTAAGCCCTAGGACTGGTGTGCACACGCACACACGCACATACACATGCACACACACATTAAGTTTGTATAAAATCAGTCTCCAGAATTCAGAATCAGCATTCACAGCTTAAGTCAAACAAAGTTCCTGCAGAAACACAATCCTATCCTTCAGAACGTATCCTTCTATAGTAACTGTAATTAGAAAATTCCTCTTCAATCATTATGCAATATAAAATAAATAAATTATTATTATTGTCTGATATTGACAGCGAATTGGATTACTGGATATTGCATGGACCATACATTCGGCTGTAAACCAAATCTCAATCAGTTTCAAATGACTATTATTATACACAATGTGTTCTATGTTCACAGCATCATTTGGTTGGGAATCAATTAACAGAAAAATAACCTGGAGAATCCCAAATATTTTGAAAGCAAGCAATACAGTCTAAATAATAAATGATGGTTGTGCTAGGGATGTGCCTTTGTGGTAGAGTGCTTGCCCATCATGCATGAAGCCCTAGGTTCGATTCCTCAGTACCACATGAACAGACAAAAATGGAAGTGGTTCTAGCCTTGAGCAAAAGAAGCTCAGGGACAGTACCCAGGCCCTGAGTTCAAGCCCCAGGACTGGCAAAAATTTTTTAAAAATTAAAAATAAATTTTAAAAACTAAAAAAAATGGTGGGTGAAAGAAGAAATCACAGGAAAATTTTTAAAAACACCTTAACTAATATGATATAAAATATACAACATATCAAAATTTGTGAAATAGAGCTAGAGTAGCATTGAAAAGCAAATGTTAGCATGAAGTGCTTATATTCAAAGAGACTAAGTATGAAAATTGATTATCTACATTGGAAAGTAGAAAAATTGGTAGATTAAACTCAGAGAAGAAAGAGGGAAGTAACCAAAATAAGAACAGCAATCAATGAAAATTTTAAAGTCAGGAATTAAAAAGAGCTGGTTTTTGGAAGGAATTAACAAGATTGACAAACCCCTAAGTAGGTAGAGGTAGAGGAAAAAAAGAAGAAATCATAAATTACCAACAGTACTATCTCTTCTCCTATCCCCAACCCCAACCGCACATCTTTGTCACCTAGGCCCCTGCCCCAGGGGAAACTAGCATCTCCCTCCATAATGTAGCAACTGAGGGGTTAAAGCTTAACACAGCAAAGGACCTTCTCAGTCCTACAGTGTTAACACCTTGTTAGGTAGCCTTGTCTGAGGACTTCCATGCTCCTAAATGGTTTGTACAATCAACACTGATCTAGCACAGACATCAGTAAGACAAGAGTTGACATTTTAGGTGATCTCATATCTGATCCCATTCTAAGTTTTGCATTAGGAAAGGCAATGCTAGCCAGCACTAGTGGCTCACGCCTGTAATCCTAGCTACTCAGGAGGCTGAGATCTGAGGATTGAAATTCAAAGCCAACCCCAGCAGGAAAGCCTGTGAGACTCTAATCTCCAATAAACTGCCAGAAAACCAGAAGTGGTGCTGTGGAAGAAAGAAAGGAAGGAAGGAAGGAAGGAAGGAAGGAAGGAAGGAAGGAAGGAAGGAAGGAAGGAAGGAAGGAAGAAAGGAAGGAAGAAAGAAAGAAAGAAAGAGAGAAAGAAAGAAGAAAAAAGAAAGAAAGAAAGAAAGGGCAATGCTTTTTAATGCTTTTGATTGTATTAAAGAGTATACTTTTTGGAACTAAATTTTTTTAAATCCCCCAATTTAATGTCACTCACTGAGAAATGGTACGCTTTACTGCATCATATCCAAAATCATGTCTAAATAAGAAAGGAATGAAGGATGCCAGACACCCAAGGACCAGGACTGCAATCCTACCTACTTAAGAGGCTGAGATCTGAGGGTCACAGTTGAGAGCCAATCTGGGCAGTAAGTTTCATGAGACTCTTTCCTCTAATTAACGACCAAAAAGTACCTGTGTGGTTCAAGTGGTAGAGCACCAGCCTTGAGACAAAGATCTTAAGGCCCTAAGTTCAAGCCCTGGTACCAACACAAACAAAACAAGAATAAACAAAAATCTAATGTCAATTTCTGCTAGGCAGCTTTGAGAGGGGAAGACCTTAAGTTCAGTTATCTTTTACTGAGTGTTTTGTTTTTTCCAGAATTGAAATAAAAAAAGAATTACAAGGGCTGGGAAGATGGCTCAGTGGTAGAGCACTTGCCTTGCATGCCTGAGACCCGGAGTGGTGCTGTGGCTCGAGTGGTAGAGTGCTAGCCTTGAGCTGAAGAGCTGAGGGACAGCGCCCAGGCCCAGAGTTCAGGCCCCATGACCGGACCCCCCCAAAAACAAACAAACAAACAAAAAAAGAATTACAACAAATTCCAAAATTAGGCCTTAATATAAAACTGGAATTCAGTTTTGTAAACTTCATCCTAAAGGTATATCTTTAAAATATTTATTTAATATCTAATCGCAAATGGGCTAAAGAGCATAGACTCTTAAGCCAGATTTCCTTGCTTCGCATGTCAACTCCACTCAAGCAAGAGATGTATCCACAAACACAACTGCTTAATCTCTGTATTCTGTTTCCTCAGATATAAACTTATATAACTACAGTATATACCTTGAAAGACTTTACATGGATTTAAAAAGCAAATGTTTATAAAGTGCTTAGAATAGTGCCTGGCATATAATAAGTGCTAAGAGTTTGTTCAATAAACAAGTAATAAATGCCTTGAGCTACATGAATGATCCTCATCAATCTTTGATAAAGATAAAAGTTCAAGTCTGATACCCAAAGAAAACATTTAAATAGACATTTTCAGGTTTCTTACTCCACCATCAGCCTCTCCCTCCCTTTCCATTTTCACCTGCTCTCATTCTGGTACCATTCCTTCTCCACAAGTCATCCCATACTAATTAGCTTTTAACTCTTCTCTCATCAACCTAAGAACAAGAAAAGCAAGACAGACCTCTACAATGAAACTCTTAAGTAATAAAAGGAATGGCTACCTAGAGCAAAGGCAAGACAAGCAGATAAGAGTATTTATTTTCCTAGGCTAAAGTGTGGCGCACAAAGGCAACACACACACGCACACACACACACAATTCTCTCTGGTGAGGGTTTTTACCAAGGACTGTGTCAATTTCCTGTTGCACAAATGCCTGCCGTCAAGACTTGATTAGGTCTTTTAGCCTCCTCCTTGTCTCTGATGCTCATCTTTAAACCGGATCTCAATAAGCTTTGCTGTAGAATTTAATGAGTTAGTGCATAGGAAGCGCCTACATAATACTGATGGCATAGCAAGATTATCATAAACATTCGCAGCTATTATTTGGAGTTGGTCTTTCCAGTTTGAGCATTGCTTTTCCCTGAAGAGGTCACTCCGGGTGGGTGGAGGAGGGGAGAGTTAGCTGAGGGATGGAAACCCCTGCGGGGGAGACGCTGGAGCCGTGGATGAACAGCGGGGACACTAATAATAATAGCACAGAGGACAGTTTGATTGAAAGTTCCCAGAATAAATCTTGGCACTGGGAATCAGCGCGGAACACTAACAGTGATTTCTGCACGGAGCAGCAGGTTTGATTCGATTGTTAATCGAAGGCTTCCCAAACAAGCCAGCAGAGCCCTCAGAGCCAGCCGAGGGAGGTCAGAGAGGAGCCCCAGCACTGCCTCCAGTGTACCAGATTACCCCTGGAGTGGCTTCCTCGGCCTCCACACGCCGACTGACGCCGTTGACCTGTGAGGTCAGGGTGCTTCTGGGTCCTATCTACCTTTCTCTGATCCTTCCTACCGCCACCCAAATGGCAGGTGCCAGACGCCCCAGCAAAACCGACCACACCGAGACACCGAGTGTCCAACTCCAAGGCCGCGGGGGCGTGGCTGACGCGGGTGCCCCACCCAGCCATCCCCATTGGCTGAGAGTGCCGAGGAGGCGGGGTCTGCGCGCGCGAGTCCTGGACTCCACTGCTCAGCCCGCACTTAGGTCCATGGGGAGACGCGAGTGGGTGAGGAGTGAGTGCCGGAGCCGGGAAAGCCCGGTGACCCCGACCCCGACATGGGGCGACAGGTGAGGCTGCCGCCGGGAGCGCCCTGCCGCGAAGGTGAGGACTCTGACTTCGGGCTGGGGAAGGACCAGGTGGGCGTTCCGGGGAGGGGCAGCGAGGACGCGCGGACCGGATGTGCAGCGGGCGCGCCGTGGTTTATTCAGACGCCCCGCCGGCGCACGGATGTTTACCGCTGCCCGAGACCCTCGGAAAGGCCGGCGGGACTCGGCCCGAGCGGGGGGGGCGGCGCGGGGGTGTGATGGGACGCTCGGATGCTCGGCCGCGCGCCGGTGTCGCCGGAGAACTTTTCCTCTGACTCAGACTCGTTTCCACAGTCCGCGGCTGACGTCACCTGGGGCGGGGGAGGGCGTGCCGGGG